CCCACCTACTAAACCTCTTTCCTCAACTGCTTCAGAACTTAGGTTAAGTGTCAGCCTAACTAGTCAGCAATGTATGATCCTAATATTGCACTTGACTAATCTAGCTAAATAATTTGATTCAAGGTGGTTTCATTCATATTTTTGAGCCTAGTTCACCACTTGTAGCGATCTGGAATGTTGTTTAGAAATTCTTCCTCCTCTGGTGTGTTCTCCCTTCCCAAAGATTTGTTCCTCTGTGGATATCTCCCAAACTTGTCAATAACTTCCTGTTAGAAAAGACATCATATTGAGTAGAACTGTTAGTAATAGCTGTGACTTGTTTCATCTCATGAAAAATAATGTCCTGTTATATTATTTAAATTTGGTCATGACACAACAAAAACCTGTGACCCAACATTAACTCCACCTCTCCCAGGCAATAAATCATGACTGGTCCCTTGGTCCCTTAGATAAAATGTTTGAGCTGCTTATGGTTTGCCATGATGATTTTTAGCATAAATCTTACACCCTAACTCAATCATACAATTTGTTTTTATCTGCATCTCCTGAGTTCAATTCGTCATTTATAACATGCCTGGTCTTTCTACTGAGAGTTAAATTTGAAAGCTTCTTGTCATGAGCTGCTTTGAATTACTAATATGATAGAGCTCGTCATTACAGGTGCCTACAGCCTCTGATTAAGGGTGAGACCAACAGACTTGCTTTACCTTGTGTCTCGTAGCAAAATCAATGTACCCTTTGGCCATGTCTTCATGCTCTGTACCTTTAAAGTCTTCTGCTAGCCTGGTCATTAAACTCACTGATAACTCCTGTTAATGAGAAATAAAACCCTCAATTTAAGTCCTGAATGGGTTGTGTCAACTATCAGCCCTGTACTCCCTAATATCGGTATACAAATTCTCCATACTGCTTAATACATTTCCTGATATATATGCTGACAATGATAATTCTTTATGCGATCTAGAGCTTCCTTAGTAGGTGATAATTTCCTTTATTCTTGCCAACTCGAGGTTTGATTCAGGGGTCATTTTTGTAAGGAGAATTTAGATGCTGGTCACTCTTAGAGGACAAAGTGAAGCCTGCATGTCCCCAATATTCAACCAGTAATTTGTAAGTGCATACAGGTCTTATAAAACTAAAAAAACTGACTTCAGTTGAACTATAAAATTATAGGCCTAATTTATACCTTTGGTAAAGGCATGAATGAGAATTGCCAGGCAAAACTGAACAAGATAGTTTTGCTGAACAGAATTAAAAGTGATTGGAGAAAAGTGAGGTATGTTGAGAGTCTGAGTTTTTCAGGCAATGACCAGATTTATTGAGGTCAAAAAGGATTAAAAATCCTGGGATACACGATCAAGATCAATAAAAAGTGGAAATATACTTCATCTTGCATTCACATGGCATTCACTTGGGATCTTGATCTAAGAAACCTGCAATAAAAAGGGAACCCACTCACCTGATCTTCTTTGTTTTCACTGTGTTCAAATGGCAAATACATGAAGCCTCTTTCAGCAAAAGGAAATTCCAAGTGGTTGTGAGTTTTACCATCAATAAACTGTCAATTTTAAATTAACAGTACAAAAAAGTGTGTTGAATTCTCAAATTAAGTAACTCTCTCCCTCCAAACCTCCTTACTCATCTGGAAGCCTAGCCTCATGATCTAATTTTTTCTGTTGGCATTTATATCAACAATCTCTCTCTCTCTCTTTTAACTCCCTATTTCCCATGTGTCAATTTCCCCAACTTAGCCCAGAAATAAGTTACAGCCACTCACATTCTGAAAAGCCAAACCTCCTTACTCATCTGGAGGCATCACAGCCTAACCTCATCATCTAATTTTTTCTGTTAGCATGACCAACAATCGCTCTCTTTTATCTCTCTCTTTCCTTATGTCAATTTCCCCAACTTAGCCCAGAAATAAGTTACAGCCACTCACATTGTGAAAAACTCTTGGGTATCAAAATGAAAACCATGGAAAAAATGTGAAATTTTACATTCAAAAATCATACCCCATTACAAGATGTCAGTGCCATGTTGTAGATTCCTCACACACTTTCCAAATAATGGCATCAGTGAGGTTAACAAAGACAATAAAATCTTATGAGCAAAGAGACTGACTTACCTTCCTTGCAATTGCCCTAGCCCTGGCATCACCTGAAAAAGCCTTGGCACTGTTCTGTTAAAACAAAAA